ACCCCAGCGTTTGCGCACTGCGCCTGCGCGCTCGGCACGCTCCTGGAAGGCACCTGGGCCACCTGCACAAGGTGCGCGATGGCCCCTGTGAATTTGGTGAGTCCGGCTTCCGCCCCGCAGTGTGTCCCTCCCTCCCCCCCACACCACGGTGGACAGCGCTGTCGAACCCTCAGTTTTTCCTTCAGGATCAGTTTTTTTCTTGTCCGGCAGGGCGCTCAGGGAGACGGGCAGGAACTCACATCCTGCGCCCTCCCTTACCAAGCTCATAGCATGTTTTCCTCCACAAGACGGGGAGTTTGGGAGTGGCAGGTCCTCACCGTTTGGATGGAGAGGGAGGGCACGTGAAGATGCCAGAGGAGGAGGAGAGGACCTCCAGACCAGGACTCCGGAGCTACTCCGGGGAAGTAGGACCTTTGGAGACTTAGGCTCTGAAAAGATTATGATGCCGGCAGGGGCAGACCCAGGTTCTGCGGAGCTAAGGCTTAATACAATTTGGAAGGTCCCACTTTAAAGGAATTGAAAATTAATCATTGCTTGGAACCTAGAAACTTAAAGTTCATTAACATTACCATACAGTTGTTTATGGGTGTGCTTGCTGCTTGCCCTCTCTATGTAATTTTTAAAAATCAAACAAAAATAAATGAAAACATTAGTAAAGGAATACCCAGAGATGCACTCTGCCAGCCCACTAGATTTTGGAGAACTGCCCCTTTCTACGCTGCCTGGAGGGGCCGGGGGAGAGTCAGGGTGAGTCCCCAGGAGTCCAGCTTGGGGTTCTGGCTAAATGCCGAGGTCAGTGTAGTGACTTTAGCTCCAACAAGGAAGCTTTGGGGGTGGGGGAATGCCTCAACAGGCATTGGGAAGTTTCTATTATTATTTTCCCAAAAGCATTCCAAGTAGATGCATGTCAAGGAGACCAGTGTTGGAGACGGGGCGGGAAGGCTCCTGTCCCAGGAACATGAAAACAATGTTTCATGTGCCTCCTTGGAGCACAGGAAAGTCACCGAAGGCTATTCCTAGTTGGGGCTTCCACCAGGAGAGACCTGTACTGCTGGTTCCCTGAATGACCTTGGGCTGGTCCCTTCTCCTCCGTGGGCCGTGTCAGCCCCTGTGGAGCCACTGTTGAGGTCCCTTTGTTTCTGCCCTGTGGCATTTAAACAGTCCTGTCTCCTTCCTTTTTCTAGTTCCTGTCACTCGTTTTTTACATCTGCTTCCTCAGCAGTTAATTCACAGGCAGTTCTCTTTGTCTCCCGACAGGTAACACTTTCACTCCACATGCAGGAGACATAAATGCTGACCAGGTCCCCGGAGTGTACTGGTGTGGAAGGTCTCAGATGATTTTTCCCTGGAGTGGTATTCTGTTCCCAAGAGAGAGAGATGCCTTGAAAAATATTTAAGATGTTTAGACCAAATCTACTATTATGGGGAGGAGCCAGCGACAGGGGGTGGGGAGCAGGGGACCGGCCAGGGGAACCAGTAAAGCCTGACCAGCTCCCAGGTCCCCTACACCCTGTTCTGTGCTCTTTCAGGACAGGACTTGATTGTGTGAAGTTAGGAAGGTGGTGGTTGCCATGGTTACCAGCGGGAGGCCAGATGGCAGATGGAAACCCCATACCCCTAATTCACTGAAAATTACCCAATGACAAGTAAATGTGACAGCCCCTCCACTCTGATCTATGGGCCCTGAGGCGCACCTCAGGCACCAGCCCCCGGTGAAAAGATGTTCGTGGAGCCAAATGGAGGCAACACAGAAGCTGCTTTTAATGATCCCATTAGTGACAGGCATCAGGCCTCCCCGGAATTTACTTCTCCTTTCCCACCAGTAATTGTCAGCCGCGACAGACTAGGCACTGTCTCCCTGTCTTCCCGTCGCTTCTTGTCCTGAGATGTATGTGTGGCCCCTGCCCCTGTGTCCTGGTGGGGCCTGAGGGTGTGGACGGGCTCTTCCCCAGCTAGACCAAGGCAGGGCGGCACCTCACTCTATGCTGCCTAAAGCCACCCTCTATTCAGAGGACGCAGCAGGAGCACTTTTAACAATGCCCCGGGGGACCCTGGTTGAAGGGAAGCAGGCGCAGTCACAGTGGCAGCTGTTCTGCCTCAAAACTGGCAATAAAGCCACCCCTCCCCAGCTCCTCACCTGCCCCTGTCTATGCGAGCTTCCCACTTTAACAGAGCGAAGCCTCCGTAAATATGTATTAAGTTCTGCACAGCGGGGGAGGTGTTCTTACACATGCCTCTCAGGAGCATTTGGAAACAGCTTTCAGGCTGAAATGCTTCCCTTTCCTCCTGTGCTCTGAAATGCCCCCAAATGCCTGGTAATGAGGGTCATCCTCTGATGAACACACATTTATTGAAGACCCACTGTGCTCCCACCTCTGAATAATTATTTACTGTTGGAATATATTCAGTAAGTATATTTGCATCTCATCTCCCTACTCGGTTTTTACAACTGTCCTGGCCAGGACTCACTCCCATTTAATAGACAGGAAAGCTGAGGCGCAGATTGGCTCCTCTTGAGTCTTGAGGGTTTCTCTGTCTGG